ATTCCATTCATGCACTGTCCTGTAACCTCATCCCATGCTGCACTAATGTTCTGTATATATTTCAAAATGTTGTAGTCCTTCTAAAACTCTGAGCGTTTTCTCACCTTCAGTAGCAGCAACAGCCTGAGCGAAGGTCGTATGTAAATAATTAGCTTTAAAAGCTGCAATAGCACCTTGATCCATGGGTTGGATGACAGAGGTAGTGTTAGGTGGAATGTAGACTACCTTAACAGCAGGGTGCATGTCATCCAGGTGTGGTGGGTGTCCCGGAGCATTATCCAAAATTAACAAAATCTTGAATGCAATCCCTTGTTGCAGACAATACTCCTTGGCTCGTGTAATTAAACAAGTCATGAACCAATCCTCAAACAGTACTAGGGTCATCCAGACTGTCTTGTTACTTCGATAAAACACTGGCAGTGTGTGCTTGCTGACATTTTTAAAAGCCCTTGGGTTCTCTGAATGATAGATCATGAAGGGTTTTATCTTGAAACCAGCTACATTCCCCCCCAACAGAAGTGTAATTCGGTCCTTGAATGCCTTGAATCCTGGCATTGTTTTCGCCTCTTTGTGGATGTATGTCCGTTCAGGCATGCGCTTCCTTAACAATCCAGTTTCATCCACATTGAATATTTGCGCATGCAAATAATTTCCTTCCACGATGACACGATCTAGCTCCTCCTTAAAAGCTTCGGCAGCACCAGCATCAGCACTAGCTGCCTCTCCACTCACCATAACATTATGTAAATTGTAGCTGTTCTTAAATCTGTTAAACCACCCATTACTTGCTGTGAAGGTTTGGTTGCACTCATCTCCTGCCTGCTCATTCAGGCTTTCGAAAAGGCTTCTTGCCTTAGCCTGTAGGGTTAGAAGACTTAAGGGTACACACTTTTGTATCTGGTCTTCCATCCATATCACAATAGGGTGTGTCATAGGAGGGAAGATCAGCTAAAACTAATGGCCCATCACTTTTTTGGTAGATTTTAGTGTATATAAACAGAAAATAATTTCAGTTTCAATATTTTGCAACCTTTTGCTAGGTAAATCTTAGCGTGAAATTTATCGAAAATCTAACGTACAGCTGCATTAGTGCATTACAATTAAATAGTGAACATTGCTTTCTGACTTCATTCTTTAACAACCCAACTAACAATATTTTTTTCTGTTTCAGATTCTGATGCATTTGTAAGTTGATAATATTTGCGATGGCTGCTTGTGTCAGGACGAGGAACCAAAAATCCAGCGATCTCAGTCACTATCTTGGGTCTTGGAGAGAGCTCCTGAAGTCGGAGTTGCCTACATTGAGAGATGCTTTGAGATACGGTGTTTTAATCAGGCAAATCAGTGAAAAGAACCAAAGAACTTACACAAACAAAGACATTGCCAGTGATATGACCAAAGCTGTCTTGGCACAGTACACTCTGGCTAACGCTCAGTTCAAGCCTCCAGTCATAACAAGTCAGAAGAAGATTAGTGAGACTGCTAGCCAGTTGGGAAAAGGCAAGAGATATCTCTCTTGGGAGAGGAAAACTTGCAGTTAAGGACAGCTTTGCCAAGCAACTGGACCAGTTATTTGACATAATTACTTGCAAGTGCCCAATTGTTCTCTGTCCTGAGTTTAGATGGGATCGTGACTGTAAATCCGAGGCCCACATCTCCTGTATTTGCAAGCGTGAACTGAAGATTCCTGTGATCGAACTGGCATTTGTCAAAGCACAGAGAGAGAAGACTGGCAGTATAGGGGCTCTCATGATTTCTAGCCAAGATATTCCGGGTCCAAGAGACAGGAGGCTGCCACAGAGAGACAGAAGAGGAGAAGAGTTGCCGAGGAAGAGAGACTTGAGAAGGCCCAGGTGAGGTAAAAAGGCCGATGATTGGAGTCAAGCTGATTCAGAGTTTAATGACTTCCCCATGGCTGATCCGAGTGCTGACCAGAGAATGGTGACTTTGTCCCCTAACCCAGAAAATAATGATCCCAAACCTTCCAGGCATAAGATTCGAAATAGGAAAGATATCCCGAGCATAGCTCTGGCCAGCATGCGACACCACACTGGTCTCAGAGAAACTGCAGAGATAGCAACAGCTGCCTGGATTGACGGTGGTTTGATAACACCTGATGATGTTCACCTGGTGATAGATCATAACAAAGTAAGGAGAGCTCAGGAGAAACTTTTCAGTAACCTAGAAGAGGAGTTTGATAAGGGGATAAGAGAAAATGGAATCAATTGTTTGTTCTTTGATGGGAGGGATGACACTAAAGTGTTCATGAAAGTTGGAGATTCTGACAAGTTGTTCCTGCCATGGTGAAGGAGGAACACTACTCCTGCTGCAGTGAACCAGGAGGAAGTATTTGTGGCATTTCCTCCAGAGATGACATCAGGAAACCAGCTGAGATAGTGGCAGATAACATTGTGAACTGGCTCAGAGAGAGGAACGTAGACCAGACCCTGCAGGCCATTGTAGGGGACAGCACCAACACGACACAGGGTGGCAAGGGGGGGTCATACAGTGGATAGAGCGGAAGATTGGGAGGAAGCTGGTCTGGATTGTTTGTGACCTCCACACCAACGAGTTGCCACTCAGACATCTGATCCAGGAGCTGGATGGCAAGACTCTTTCAAACAACAGATGGTCTGGTCCTCTTGGCAAGATGCTGGACTCTGCCACTGAGTTAGAAATAAATCCGAGCTTTGAAAAAATCACAGTTGGCCCTCCACTCGTTGAGCTTGCACATACTGTCATTGACAACCCTACTACCATGCAGATCAGGTTGCCTGAGATAGGTCTCTCACATTCTAGGTGGCTCACAACGGCTCTCAGGTTCTGCAGAATTTGGGTCGCTCATCATAAACTGAAAGGGAACCAGCTTCACAACCTGAGACTTATTGTCCAATTCATCGTGAGTGTCTACTTGCCAAATTGGTTCAACACCAAGGTCAAGTCATCGTTCTCCGAAGGTCCGAGGCATGTTCTCTTCCAGCTTGAGCTCCTGAGGAGTCAACCAAGGAAGGTTGTTCAGATTGTGTAGCAGACTGTGAGGAGATCTTCCTGGTATGCTCATCCCGAGGCAGTTCTGCAGACAATGCTCTGCAGTAAGGATGAGGAGGAGAGAAGAGTGGCAGTCAAAAAGATCTTGGATATGAGACTTATGAGAGGATCTGGGCATGACGAATCAGTTGGTGACGATTCCTTCAGGGTCAGGAAGACTCCTGAAGTCAATCTAGGTGCCAAGACCCTCACTGATCTCATAGATCTGGATAACATCCAGGCTGGCAGTGAGCCCCTCTTACCTGCAGCCTCACCAATGTTCAAGTCAGAGCTTTCCTGGACAACCCCATGCATGTCCCTGCCTGGCCCTCGCACACCCAGAGTATAGAGTGTTGTGTACAGCAAGTGAGCGAGGCCAGCAGTCACGTGTACAGCCAGGAGAGGAGGGAAGGCTACATCCGAGCTCAGGTGGTCAGCAGGGAGGTGATGAGTAGAAACAGAAGCAAGAAAGACATGTTCTCTATGGTGTGCAGCAACACTGGGTCGTAGTAGTAAAACCGGTTTTTGTATTTGATGATTTTGTTTTCTAAAGGAATATTAAATTTAATAAATGTGTCAAGATCATTCGTTTCACTATTCTGGATCATTTTCATCCTAATAAATTAACCTGATACATTTACTTTACTTTAAATAAGCTATTTAGTGGTGTTGGTAAAAGGGTGGGAAAACTGAATTTTCATAAGATTTCAAGTTAAAATTTACCTAGCAAAAAATGAAAACTTTTCAAATCTGAAGATATCACATGATTCTACACATAGAACTACATCATTAATACCATGGGCCGATTTTTCAAACTCAAAAAAAAAAAATTCGCCTCCGTATAACACACCCTAATATCACAAGTAATTTTTCCATCTCATGAATGGAACCTTCTCTTTTCTTCATTATTGTAGATCCCTTTACAGTACAGGTGCTGATCCTTTCACTACCTCACGAATACGTTCCTTGTCCTTCAAAATAGTAGATATGGTCGAGTGCGAAAAGCCTAGGTCGCGTGAAATGGTTGCTCCAGTTTTTCCATTTTCATACTACATTATTATCTTCATTTTCGTCTCAAAAGTAATTGACTGTCTCCCTTTCTTCTGAGCACCACCAGCACTCTCACTTTTACACTTTCCAGTCATTCTAAAGTTTATTAGATACGAAAGTAATGTTAGTACACAGCGCGATCAATTGCAGAAACAACGACAGCCAAACACCAACTAAGCGCTCTATGGCATGGGTGCTGTAGCCACGAGGCGACCCAAGCCACGCTACACTCTCGCATGGGGCGGAAACGTTTCGGTCTAGAAAATACAAGCGTCATTTGACAAATTTTTTGGTACCGTCTGCGGCAGTCGTATGTGCGGGTGGTCGTACCGACTGAAGCAGGTCGTGAGTGGGGGTGGTCGTAGGCGAGTATGTTGTAAGTCGGGGAGTAGCTGTATAAGAAAAAATACTGATGATTAGTACAATGTCTGATTCTGGTTGATAATTGTGGAGTCATGCGATGGCAGGTTTATGATCAACAAAGAACCAAATACAGGGCTGTAGTTCATGGGTTAGCCATGTGGCGTCGCGTGGGTAGGCTTACAAGTGAAGGTAGAGATGTGTCATGCATCGGTTTAAAAATTTTTCCTTATAAAATGTCAGTAACTTGACTTCGAAAAATATAACTTACATTGCTAGAGTCCTTACAAGACAGTGATTAATTTGAGTATAAACTACCCATAGTTGGCAATAGAGGAAAAAATGTCCAACCAATGAATATTTGTGGTTATTCAATGGATATCGTTAAAGCGAGTTGTTTTGATCCTATATAGCCAGATGGTCTTAATTTATAACCATCGTTAAAGCAGAATATCGTATCTCGGGATATTTTATCTCAAGGTTTACCTGTACACACAACTACAGTCCAGTACTGTATTTTCACCTATACATTCGCCTTTTCTAAATCTTTAATTTGTCCCTAGGACTAAGGAGATGACTGATGGCGTACAAATGGAGCTCAAAAATTTTGGAGGCTTTGCTTACAATGAGAAGAGGAAAACTGCAAATGTGTTTAATGAAGTTGCCTTCAAGAACTTCCTCGAAAAACATGGCCTTACCCATGTAGTCAGGGCACACGAAGTCAAGCAGGCTGGCTTTGAGGTGAGTAATTCTAATTCAAGTCACAGCAATTCTACAATGTATTTTACCTATAGGTGCAATACCTAATTTGTATTTAATTATTTCCTAAAGGATGGGTACTTTTATTTTTTCCTCAAATATTTCAGCCATAGACTATCTTCACACTTTTAAAAGTTAATATAAAATTTCCTGAAACATCTAACCATTTGCTAGGAAATTTCTGTATGTAGTTTTGGTAAACTGTACATATAACTGAAGAAGATTTACCGCACTGCCACTGACAAAATAAGTAAATATATTTGGAAAGCAGTTTCATATTTTGTTGAGCCTTCATTAATATTATTGAATTAATTTTGTGTATTTTACCCATTCTCATAGAACTCTCCAAAATTAATCTTTTAAAGTGAAAATGCCCTAACACAATTAACATACAGTAGTACCCCGATTTACGCGATTTACGCGGTCAATTGAACCCACAGGGTACCGCGTTAGCGAAATCCGCGTAAATGGAACAACAGAACATATTGGATTAATTCCAATAGAGACTGGCCCAACCCCCAAACTCCACTTTTTCCGACACAATACCTATGTTGTAGTAAAAATAACATCTAAATTTTATGATGGTATGCTCACACAATTAATATTTAAGAGAAATACAGTCGCCAGGTTAATGTCCATTCAAATAATAGACTCAAATCCCCCCCCCCTCTTCCCAGCTCACTGGCCCCTACCTCTCTGAGAAATGATTGGGTGAAACACTAGATTTTAACGTTTAGTAATAAATAATACCTCAGACTAAAGTTAGGATAATATAATTGACATTTCTGGATTCCTTGCAGGTCAGGGAATATTTTGAATGTAAACTCCATATATTTTGCACAAAAGATAAAATACTTGCTTTGTGTAAACCAAATTATTACATTAGATCTAAAATTTGTATGTCTAATGCAAAATCCATGATGTTTATATTCAAAATGATCATCATATTGTAAGAATTCCAGCAATGTAAATTATATTCTGGTCCAGTAATTTATATGAATTTTATGAGCTAAAACAAATATCTTCAGTTAATAAAAAAACAATATTCTTCACGACACTATCTGTCAATCAAAGTACCCCAACTTGCCTCCCCCCCCTCTTCCAACCGCGCCAGATGGTCGGTCGGTCCCAACCCTCCCACCTTCCCTCCCTACCAGAGAAATGTTGGGTGAAAAAACTAATTTTAACTTTTAGTAACAAATAATACCTCAGACTAAAGTTAGGATAATATAATTGACATTGCTGGATTCCTTGTAAGACCAGGAACATTTTGAATATAAATGTCATATATTTTGCACAAAAGATAACATATTTACTCAGACTAAACATTACATCTAAAATTTGTATGTCTAATGCAAAATCTATGATGTTTATATTCAAAATGATCATCAAATTGTAAGAATTCCAGCAATGTAAATTATATTCTGGCCGGGTAATTTGTATGAATTTTATGAGCTAAGACAATATCTTCAGTTAATAAAAAAAAAATATTCTTCACACCGTGCCAGATGGTCGGTCGGTCCCTCCCACCCCCCCACCCCCCACCAACCCTCCCTACCAGATAAATGTGTGGGAAAACCAGAATATTTACCTTTTTAGAAATAAATAATACCTCAGACTAAAGTTAGGATAATATAATTGATATTGCTGGATTCCTTGTAAGACCAGGAATATTTTGAATATAAATGTCATATATTTTTCACAAAAGATAACATATTTACTCAGAGTAAACATTACATCTTAAATTTGTATGTCTAATGCAAAATCTATGATGTTTATATTCAAAATGATCATCAAATTGTAAGAATTCCAGCAATGTAAATTATATTCTGGCCGGGTAATTTGTATGAATTTTATGAGCTAAATGAAAAAAAAAATTATACTTCACACGTATATGGGTAGATGAACCGAGTAAAGTGAAAGTTCGGTTCTGGCTAGGCACCGCGTACATGAGAAATCACGTAAAGTGAAACCGCGTAAAGCGGGGTACAGCTGTACTGTATAAATGAAGATGTATCCATAAGTCCCATTTTCCAATAACACCCGGGGTTAGACAACTCAAGATTTTCACGCTCTTAATTAGTCCTTCGAACTTCAGTTGTTTTCATGTTCCTAAATAACCCTAATTAAAATTTAAGAGAAATGCAGCCACCTGTTAATGTCCGTTCAAATAATGGACTCAACTACCGCCCCCCCCCCCCTCTTCCCACGCTCGCTGGCTCCCTCCCTCCCTACTCCCACCCGCCACCTTCCCAAGAAATGTTTGGGGAAAAGGACTAGGCTTACAGGTTTAGTAATAAATAATACCTCAGATTGCAGTGAACCCTCACTTTACACGGTTAATTCAACCCACGGCGGCCCGCGTAAAGTGAGTAACGCGTAAAGTGAACAACATAACATATGGGATTAACTGAAATAGAGACCGGGCCGACCCCCAAACTCCACTTTTTCCCAACACAATACGTACGTTTTACTAAAAATAACATCTTAACTTTATGATGGTATTCACCCACACATAATATAGAAGGGAACAGTCAATAAACTGAAGGTTAGGTTAGAAAAAAACAAGGTTGGGGTTAACACTTACGTTAGTAGAAGAGATGGGTCGGCGTAGGGGAATGGAGGCTAGTTCCGAGGGAGAGGGCAGGCTACTGGCCCTCAGGTGAGTCATCATCGGTGTCATCCACACTTACTAGTGCCTCCCTGACAAATCCCTCAAAGTCATCTTCACTGTCTCTGCCTCTGTCACTATCACTGGCTTGGGCTGGCTGTGGTGGGTTGCGGGCGAAGAACTCTGTTATGCTTTGCTGACGGCTGGTGTTTATGTTGTCGTGATAAACCTTGATGTAGGGCTCCATAGTCTGCAACAGCTGGGTAGTGAAGATTTCATACCTGTTTGCGTCAGGGTCGTCGGAAAGGAGGAGCTTGACTTTCTCAATACACTCGATGGCACCCCTAACATTACTATGGGATAAGCGGCGTTCTTCTCGGGATGACACATCACCTGCCTCTTCACTGACATCATCATCATCTACCATCTCGTCGGTAGTCGCATCAGGATCCCTTATCACCTCCAGGATGTCGTCGTTGGTGGTCTCAGAGAAGCCTGCAGCTGTAACACTCTGCGCAGCTTCTCTGGCAAGGTCCACTGCTACTGCAACAGTCTGAACCTCACCAGTCACAGATTTACTCTGCCTAACACCCGGAATGCCTTGCAACACATGTCTCCATGCGTGACGAACAGTTGTTACAGACAGCTGATCCCATGCCTCCACCAAGAAGTCCACAGGTTTCTTGACGTTGAATGTTCTCCAGAATTGTTTTAAAAGTACTTCTTGCTCTGCCAACTGTTGATCCTCGTCGTCTTCGCTCTTGCTATCGGTGTTGGTGTCACTCAGGTTACGCAACTCTTCCTTGGTGTTGGTGTAGTAGTTCAGTAGGTTGAATTTTTTAGCAGAGAATGCAGCTTTTACATTACAGATCAATTCTTGGTCCATGGGTTGTATTATAGACGTAGTGTTGGGAGGAAGGAAGACCACTTTTATGTTGGGGTGACGATCTAACAGTAGGGGCGAGTGTCCTGGTGTTGTCCAACAGCAACAAAATATTGAATGGCACATTCTGTTGCTCACAGAATTTCTTCACATCGGGAACGAAACAGTCATCAAACCGGGAGAGGGACAGTGTAGAGAACATCCACGCCTTACGTGCGGTCAGCCATTGGACATTTAGCTTGATCATGTCCATGCTCTTGTAGGCGTGCGGTTTGCGTGCTGTGTGGATCACCGATAACTTGAGCTTACAGGTACCGGAGGCATTGGTGGTAAACAGGACGATGATGTTCTCCTTCTGCAACTTCCGGCCCCCACACTTGCTGGCATTCTTCTCAACGAAGGTCTTGGAAGGTAGCTTTTTCCAAAAACGACCAGATTCATCCATGTTAAACACCTTGTCGTTGGTGTACTGTCCTTCCTCCATAATCTCACGTAAAAACGGAGGAAATTCCCTAGCCGCAACACAGTCAGCACTAGCTTCTTCACCACCAATGTTGATATTGGTGATCTTGTTTCTCTTCTTAAACCTCTGTAACCACCCAGAGGAAGCATGAAAGGGTTTGGGCTCTGTAATTCCCATCTTTCGTGACACTGCAGCATACAGTTCACGTGCGTACTCCTTAACTGAGCGCGTGTCCACCGCCATGTTCCGTCGCGCCTGACGCACCAAGTAGCTCACAAGTAATTTTTCCGTCTTGAGAAGCACCTGGTTGTGGAAGTATTTCATCATAGAAGCACCTGTAGACTTTGTGATGTTCATGTGCTCCTTTATCTTGGCTGCATCCTTCATAATTGTCCTGATAGTTGATTCGTTAACACCATGCTGGCGCGCAAGATCAACCTGTCTTGTTCCTTTCTCCAACTCTTGTATGATCTTATATTTGATTTCGTAGCTTAAGGAACGTCGTGTCTTCTTTGGCTTAGGGCGGCTGGATCCAGGTAATGCAAGGTTTCTTTGTGGTGGTGGTGGTGGTGGTCCGGTGGAAGCCATTCTTATGGAACAATGGATACCGATATACACGGTGTAGCCTGGAGGGGTGTAACTGACGCAGTAGGTCAAGAGGCTTGAACGCTCCCGTGGCGGGGCACGTCATAGTACTACATTAAACCAGTCACAGCTAGCAGGGAGGGAAGTAAGGATGCTTTGCCCAATCACAGTCTGCTACGTCATATGACGTCATCGATAATGCAAGAAACACATACACTGTGCAACCTACTCGCGCCGCTTACACAACATGGCGGGAGGTTTGGATCCAAAAATGGCGCGGCGCAAGAGGACCGCGAGCTGCTCTCCGCTTAAAGGGGTACATGCACCGCGGAAAGTGAACATTCCGGTTTCGGCAGGGTACCGCATAAACGTGGAAACGCGTAAAGTGGATTCCTTGCAAGACAGCGAATTAATTGAATATAAACATCATATATTTTGCA